AACAGTTGTTCTTCCGAAACAAACCGCCGTGTGATTGCAGCCTAATATGGCACTTTGTTCTTCCAACCTAGTGATGTCCTTTCGAATAACTAAAGAAAGGCAATTGTTATCAATTCTTTCTCGCATGTTTGTTTTTAAGTTAATTGATTTCATTTGACACCATAATTGAAATTTTATCCCCTTCAATAATTTTCAAAGCATTGTGAAATAATGTAGCTTTGTTGTGGATAAACTGAAGACAAATTTGTGATGTCATTTTCAAAAAAAACAGCTGCAATATTAAAAGTATGATTTAAATATTTTGTATATTTTAAAAAATATTTTCTACAGCTGGTAAAAGAGCTAGCCGTCATGTTTTGCTGTAACCAATAATTCTTTTATATTCGATTTTTGCGCTTTCACAAAAATCCTTCAAACTTTCGTCACACACAGTATATGCATAAATAAGAATAAATTTTTGAAGTAATATTTTCAACATCCACTGGAAGTAAGTCAGATGCTGTTTGAATTGTGTGTAGAATGTGCTCTGCACAACCTACTCGAATAATTTTTGGGTTCAAACATTCGTTAAGTTTCGTAAACGCGTTATTGATGCTTCTTCTAGCTTTTCCACCAAAATTTGTGTTAGTGTCAACAAGGCAATAATTTTATTGTTCAAATTATTCTTTTTTAAAATAGTACCTATTGAATCAAAAATTATTTCTGAAGTTTCACCCAACAGCCGTCCAGACGCTATTGTGTTTAGGGGAGCTTGACTGCGATTCCGAAGGGCCTGGCTTTGAATCCCGGAGAAGGCATGGTTGTAACTGCCCCTTCATAGGAGACAATGGTGGCCCACCTAATAGGTGCCTCCATAATAGAGACCACCACGTCTGGCCTTAGTAGAAATTATTGGACTTTGTTACAAAACTGTTAACTGTTCACAATCTGCCATTGGGAGAAAAAGTTTCACCCGACAATAAAACAAAATCTAATATTCTAATTTTAATTCCTGTTTCTAGATCAAAACGTCTAACAGTTGTGGAAAATAATCGTAAATCTTTGTAGTTGGAAACATCAATATTATGGGCATAAAATGTGCATTTATCTAATTCTTTCTGCAATTGTTAAAACGAATATGGTGGAAAACATTACAAATAATTGCTTCAGTTTTTGTTCTCGCACATGCAAATTTTGTCGTACAATGTTTTGATTATTTGCAATGTACAATCAATTTATCCGAAACTTTGATTGTGGTTTATGGTGTAGAAAGCAAATAGCCCTTCAGCTAATGCTAGCTGTTCCTACATTAACAATACATATTCCTTGATGAGACATAACGACAATGATCGAACACAGAGTAAATCTAGCTCGTTACATTGCCTAATTTAGTTTACATGCTTTTTATTTTTTTTAATTCTTTATAGTCACTATAATAATTAATAAATAATATGTAATATATTTTTACAGTTCATTTAAAATTTGAAATGCAGATATTTTCTAAAAATCGGGACGTGGGGTCACTTTACAAAAAGGGCGAACGAAATTACTCAGAATCTCTGATGCTTGCAAGTAGAACTACGCAGTTAAATAACGGTTCTGCCTCATTGTGTATTCAGATGGGATTCTAAAACTACATTCTGTCTGTAAGTAGTAAGTTGAAGTTAAGAATCGAAAGGAACTTAACATCTAACTGTTAATAAAATTAACATAATCCTTACTATATTATTTTATACTGATCATCAAAATTAAATGTTAATGGGAAAAAATATACTAAGTTAATGTGGCAACCAATGCAATAATTGGTACTGTTCGGTTTCGAGGGCCGTAAAAAATCGCTAAACTATTGTTGATGTAAGTGCTGGCAAAAGTAATTGCGGCAACCCTAACACAAGAAAGGAAGTATTATAGTGAATAACTGTCTAAATATTGATGTTTTAATTTAGATGAAAGGTTAACCGAGTTATCGCTAAAGAGGTTATCTCGTTGGTTGTTCAAACATGATTTTCTATAATGAATGATGCCTTTTCTTTGAAAACATTTTCAGTGCAGAATCGCCCGCTCTTTTCTTTGCCGCTTTTTACAATGGTAAAAACAATTGGAATTTTGTCAATTTTCTTTTACTTTTTAAGTGACAATAGGTCGATGTGTACATGGATAGCGAGTATGTGCAGTTCTTTAAACGCGTCAAACAGTGGGTGATTCTGCACTTTACCCAAAATTCTATCGCAAACTCTCATCATAGGCTATTCCCAAATTGTTAAATTCATAGGATATCAGAAAAGGAATTAAAAATTAAACTAGTATTTCAATGGCATTTTAGGCCATATAGAACTATATAAACTTACACAATCCGAAATCATCTTGTATGCGAGATAAGTCACACTGTTAAATGGGCGTGTTTGCTAGATTTGGTGCTTTCTTGCATACATTTTCGCTGCAATTTTTTTACGGCTCGAAACCGAATAGTACCCAATAATTATTTATGTGGATGAAATAAATTTGAACACAAAATTGTATATATGTTAGTGCTGGACCATATTCAGAAATGTAGCATGTACCATATGGTATGTACACACATACATATACCCACGTACATGCATACATTTCTGAACCTGGTGTCAGTAAGAGGTTACTTTTTAATCTTTTGTTCAGAAATAGGTAACGCTTTGTAAGATTGTAATATATAGATTAAAAAGAAACTAAATGTGAATTAACAGCTCTATTTTCTTGTATGTTTATTATACAGTACAAAGTCCGTAATCCGGACTCGTCGGACTTCGGCGATTCCGGATTATAGATAATTTATTTAAATCTGGTAAGATGGCATGCAGAAATTATGCAATTAAAAATATGAAACCGTAATTTATGAAATAAAAAGCAATTATGATCTAAAAGGTATCAAAATTTACACGAAAAAAGCTTAATATTTATTTGTTTACTTAAACATTTCTTTCAATGTAAGTTGCTTTGTTTTTTGTGCTAAACGCGCATGCTTAAAGCATACAAAAAAGTTTGTGGCTTTGAGGTACGGATTATAGATCATTCCGGATTACAGACTTTGTACTGTACTGTATATGTATTTCGTATATAGTTATAGCATAATATAATTTATTTAGGCTCCCCGTCCAAGCACTGGGCCTCACAAACTTCGAGAGTCCTTGCCACTTATCATAATGCTAAGAAATAGATTAAAATATGCTCTCACAAATGCTGAAGTTACAAAAATTGTTATGCAGCGTCTCATAAAAGTAGATGGGAAAGTAAGAACAGATAGCAACTACCCAGCCGGGTTTATGGGTAAGGATTTTTCTGATATTGCTATTTATTGATTAAAAACTTTAAGAAATTTGTGTCTGAATATAAATTGTGAATATGAAATATATAACTTTATTCTTAATTGTGCTTGCTGAAGGCCGGTTTACACTTCTCTGAGTGAGCCCTTATCTGAGCATGGATTGTTTACACTAGTCAGGGTGGACTGACAACTCGCCTCCGTTTGTTTACAAATTGGATACTGACACACAGGCTGTGCTTGAAGTTTGCAAGGCAGTTTCCAGTGAATTAATTTCTGTTCTAGGGTTAAAAAAAAAAAAAAAGAAGAAGAAGAAGAAGAAAAGGAAATAAAAGCATGATTGGATAGCTTGCCATGATGAATTGGGAGCGTTAAATCATCTGGGGTGAAAGTATCCAAAGTGAGAACCTCATCGGAATGTGTGAAGGGGAATTTAAAACTTTATTGGAAATGGTCACTCCTCTTATTCCCCCCCCCCAAAAAAAAGGTTCTTTCAAGATGCTCTGCCAACAAAATTTAAACGCAGCACTTTGGTTTCTGTGGACGGGTGACTCCTAGAGTTATCTGCAATATTTAATTTGAGCATCACAATCAGCATATTTATTCCAGAAGTGTTCAAGGTCATTTTCTGTGTATGTAGTTGAGTGAAAATTATTAATCTTTTGCTTGAACTCTTTAACACCTTCAAATTTTAGCATGTTAATAAGGCGATTTTTATTTTAATAATTCCGACTGATGTAAATAAAATCTAATTTGAGGTTCAAATAAAAAGGAAAGTCTATAAACAAAATTTCCAAATTTTAGATAATTTTATTTGATGTAATTGGCAATGAGTAGAAACTCGTTTTTCAAAATTTATATCAACAAAATAAATGTTTGCCCTTTCACTTATTTTAATTGTAAATTGGGCAGTTGAATAACATATAATTTAATTGTTTTTTGATTAAAGAAGATTCGGAAATAAGTATTTTGAATCCTATACCCTAATTTTTCTTCTGTTTTTTTCTACAATATCAAAAACCTAAATTCAATCTAATCAGTAGTTAAATCAGCGTTATATTTTGATATTAGAAAACAATAGTAACATTCAGGCAGTGAAATATCCCATAATACTTTTTAAGATGCATATTCATTAATAAATGCCATAGTTTGATTATTGCTCTCTCTGCATTTTCGATGTAACAAAAAAATTGGACACGAGATCTCTACTTAGAGTTAGTGCCCAGATAGATTGTCAACTGGTTCAAAGTAGAACTGGACACTCCGATTCATCTCCCTTACATTTTTATTCGGGCAAGGTGAGCTTTTACATTGTCAAAGTAGTCATGACGAGAGCCTCGCTGCAGAATGCCCGGACGAGTGTAAACTCACCTTGAGCTGTATTTAGCAAAATGTTATATGGTTATTTGTTATGTAAGGCATAATTTTAAATTTCTCTTATGTCAAAGTACAGTTTTAAGTTTTTGTACTGAATTTATATGTACTAGTATATAAATGCTTGTAAAAAAAATCTCATGCAGAAGTAGCAAATTTTTTGCCAGCTCTAATAATGCATTTTTGGCAAGTGTAAATTTTTCTCTCTAACCGAAAGGACCTAATTTCTTGCTTTGAGAAATACTGTTCGGAAGCGCTATTCAAATTATTGCAAAGTTTTAATTGGCAAAAAAAATTTAACTCTAGAAAATGAATCATCACTCATCCATGTCGCTAATCGGCTCGTTTACCATGCAACTATATCTTTCTTATGATAAATAAAAGCGATAAAAGCAGTGCAAAGCGCAATAAGACCCTGCATAGTAGCAAAAAAGGATTTGAAGGAATAAAAAATGTAATTGTTTACTTCATACAAAAAAACTAAAAAGTTATTGTTAAAAACTTGCTTTGCACCAAAAAACCCACTGGTAATTTATAGAAAATGAGTTTTGTCTCCCATGCTTTAACTCTTTCGCATCGAGAGAGGGCAAAATCTCAATTCCCCAAACATCGAAAACGCCAGTATCTAAGAATTTCTCTTGGAATGCTTTTCCTTCCTCCATGACAAGTTGAATACTACAGCACTAACAATAGTCTTACTTAAGTAAAGCGAGAACTTCTTTCTTTGACGCTTTGGCACTGTGTGAAGTTCCCCCTTGGTACGAGATTGCATCAAAAGCTAAACACTTAGTAAACAAAGGAAACAAGGAAGCTACTTTTAGTAGCTTCAAAAGAATGATTGACACGTGATTTAACAACACCTGAAAGTAATGCAGTAATGTTGATGGGGGAAAGCACTGGGTAGGAAATTATTTGGGCATCCAGCTGATGTCTGAATTTTTAGGCATTTGGGGTGACTTTGATGCGAAAGAGTTAGTAAATTTTTAAAACTAGTGTCCTTTCCTGCTTAAGATGTTTTAAGATCTCAGTGTTGCCAGATGTTTTGTGTATGTTAAAAAATTGTAGATGCAGTTCTAAAATTTTATTTCCCTTAAAGATGTTATCACTATTGAAAAAACCGGAGAATTCTTCAGATTGCTGTATGATGTTAAAGGGAGGTTCATTTTGCACAGAATAACTGCTGAGGAAGCAAAAGTGAGTATTTTTAGTTGATTTCTTTTATATTGTACATTTATTCATATTGTACATAATAAATGCATTTACAGTACAAGCTGTGTCGAGTAAAACGAGTTCAAGTTGGACCTAAGGGTATACCTTTCTTAGTTACACATGATGGGAGAACCATCAGGTATCCTGATCCACTCATCAAAGTTCATGACACCGTTCAGTTAGATATTGGCACAGGGAAAATCATGGATTTCATCAAATTTGATATTGGTAATTACAAGTTTTGCTCTTATTTTTTTATCTGTCTTTTATGTGTTTTCACTTCAAATTAAGATTGGGCTTAATTTACATTGGCTGCTGTCCTTTTGAATTAAGGCTGTGACTTTGTTTATTAACACAACCGCTTTAGTTGTGTTAATACTCAAAGTAGAAATTGCCAAATTTTGAAAATTCATTTAACCTTTTCCCGTGGGCTATAGGGTCCAATTTCGAATGTATTTTGGCCATTTAGTCACTTATTTTAACTGAAAGGAACAGAAAAACAAATCGACAAGGTATTGCACTTCCTAATCCATATTAAGGAGTAAATTTTAAATCTCCATAGTTTACTGAAATTTCTTGAGGCACATTTAAAGTAATGAACGTGCGAGACATATATGTCCCAGCCCCCGAGAAAAGGTTAAACCGACAGTTATGTTCATAATATTTTTTCAATATAGTGTTGCCATGTTTGTATGCATTCTTTTCGTTGTATTCTATTATCAGCAGTTTTTATAGAAGAAACTAAACATTATTTTGTTTTTTAAACAGTTTTAAAATGTGCGTATGTTATTCCAATCTCAAGGAAAGTAAACCCTTTTCAAATGTGGAAAATTTGAATTATAAATAACTCCAAAACTCATTATTGTGTAAAATTACATACACCACACATTATTATGAAAAAATAAAACATTTTATCCTTAATATATTTTTAGGAAAAAAGTCCTTGAGACGATAGATTTCAGAGACATGATCATACTTAGGTATACATATAAACAATTTTTAATTTTTAGAATCACTTCAAATTTGCATTGATATTTACATATTTATTCAGATATTTAAGTGAACCTATTTTTATTCTATTGTGTAGAGCTAAAAAAATTTAATTTCAGAAGGTTTGAATTCTTAAAAAATATCATTTTTAAACTAAAATTCATTTCTTGGGGGAAAATTTTAATGAATTCATTCAATACATTTAAGTAATATAACAAAATTTAAGGTAATTGAATGGGTAGAATTTTATATAAAAAAGTGTAGCTAAATGATTGAAAATACTTGTTTTAAGATACGGGTAAATACTTAATCAACTACATTTTTTAAACTTTTTAATTTTTTTGTGTCAATCATGAGTGAAAACTGCTAGTTACATCTTTAATTATAATTTATGGCAAATTTTTTAGGGTTTATTCTTGTGTGAAGTCAAACCAATTGTAACATGTTTTGAAGATTTCTTCAAATATGCAAATAGTAATTTATTCTAACAGTAGTTTATATGAATGAATTTTATCATAAATTTTAAAGTTATGAGGTGTAATAAAAAGAATATTTTTATGAATTTTACAAGTACAAGAAATTGCATTAGTTAATCAGTTTCTTCAGTTACCTTTGATTGTTTTTTTAATTTTAATTTTCCCTTTAAATGTTTGATATTGCATGAAATTATTTGAGTATATTTAATAATAGAAATTGTCGAATTTTTTCAATGAATAGAAGTAAGAAGATACATGTTCTAATTTTTTGTGTAATATTTTTTTAAACAAATATTTTTGACTTTGGCTGGAATCGAAATCACGTGAGAATAAATCTCATCTCTCATCTGGTCAAAACGCAGCCAAAATAAATGCTTTGATAAAGGTCGCAAAATTCCTTTCATTAATTGAATTTTGCATTACCCAACAAAGCTACATACAACATATAAATTGTCAGAATGCATGTAGTAAAACTGAGTGTAATATAGATTGGCTAATGTCTAAACCACTGATTGGCATTTCTCCTTTGGTGGTAAAAGATATAGCCTAAATAAAAATCTTTGTTTTGGTCGCATGGATCTTAAAAGATTTGTGCATGAAAAATTAAGTAACAAAGTTTAAAAAATATAGCTAGTTTATATAAAAATCTTTGTTTTGGTTGCATGAATCTTAAAGATTTGTGTATAAAATTAAGTAACAGAAAGTTTGTGTATCCTCAGTGTTCTGTAAGAGTGAAATTTCTTTTCAGGAAATTTGGTTATGGTAACAGGTGGCCATAACTTGGGAAGAGTTGGAACTATAACATCAAGAGAAAGACATCCAGGTTCATTTGATATTGTGCATGTGAAAGATTCTCAAGGACACAGTTTTGCTACTAGGTATTTTCTCCCTCATTTTAATTTTCAGCTTTTTTAAAACTTTTTAGTTTTTTAAAACAAACTAATACATTCTGAGAGTTGGATAGTGTAACATTAATTGTGCAAGAAATTTTTGGAAGATCTAACATCTTTTAGAGTTATTGCAGAAAAGTGTAAGACTTCTCTGCTCAGGGCAGGGCTCATGTAAAATAACTGTAATCTAACAGAACAAAAAGGCTAAACTGTTCCTCAAAAGGATAGAAGGATAATTTTGCAGTGGAAGATGCTTATTTCTTTAAAATAAAGATAATAGGTTTCACGATTTAAAAGGCTAACATTGTACTGTATAAATCTTTGTCCACTTAATTTCTTTGCTGGGCCTTTTTTTTCTCCTACAATCCTTAGTTGTAAAAATATACTTCAAATTACAAAAATGTTTTAAATGATGCAGAGTTTCATGCTTTGCCATTTTTATGTTTACGGAAATCAGTTTTGTAAAAATTACAAAAAATCTCGGCTTTTTGCTCATTTTTCCAGTCTTTGTATTAAAGGAAATTTTTATGTATATTATAAAAAAAAAAAAACAAGGATTTGACTTCTGTATGCACATCTTATTGTTTGGATTCTAGAAAACACCAGCAGGCTTTTGGTATTAGCAGATCATTTTATTTTGTCATTTCATATTATATTTGTATTAATTAAAAATGAAACATTTGTACTTAAATGAATTTTCTAGCTAATAGTACTGTACTTTAATGAATTTTTTAGCTATTCTATCATTCTAAACTAATAAAACTTCATGAGAATATTAATAATATAACTTTAGACTTTGAAAACTTGAAAATCACAAAATGATATAGAATGGCATTTAATGGGGAAGTCAACTTTGAATTTATCCTAATTTATTTATTAGCTAACCCCTTGATTCAAATTTAAGATTTGCATTAAGGCCAAAAACGTGAATCTTTGCATCATATAAGACAATTTTGTAATTGGAAGTATATGACCTAGGGTTGTGTATAATGAATGTCTGTAAAGCTAATGTTTTGGTAGATTGTTGACCGGGATGTGAATACACTTTTTCCCCTTATGCTTATTTAAAAATTTTACAGTCATAAGAAATAGCCTGTTGATAAATATGGCAAATTAAGGTCAGGGTTCATATGGTCCTTAATTTTAACCCTCTGACTGCTCAATTTGTGGACCAAAATCCCTTCCCAAAAAAAAAAAAATTCCCCACCACCACCACCAGATTCAATAAGTCTAATTAATAATTCAATTAAATAATCAAGATAATCGCTGAATGTTTTCTAGCAGCCATTTCTGTAAGAAAAAATGGCAAGAAGCGAAGTTTGAGTGCTAACACCACGTGCCTTCAAAGGCCGCAATTTAGTGGACAAAACATTTTCTCCAAGCTTATTTTAAAGTGATGTTATTTTCCATTTTTGTGACTTATAAATATTTTGATTCTGAAAAATAAACAAAATAATAAATGTTGTATATATAAAGCTCAGTTTCCAAAACACTTTTTAGAGTAAAACAAAAAAATTATAATTATTTAAAAATGAATTTCTCTTAATTTTATATTTTTTCATAAGTTGTTTTCTGTATAGTTATGCCAGAATGTTGAAATGTGTATCATTCTAAAGAATTCACTTTCCTTTTCTGAGCTTTTTTTCCCCTCAAGCATCTGGCTTTTAGCTCTTACAGAGTTGGTAGGGAGAGGTAGCATTTTGGTTGTTTAAGAAGGATTTAAATGCAAAATTTATAGACACAATTCCAGAAAAAATGTGATGAAATAAAAAATGTCTTCATGCTATTAACACATAATGGACTTAATAATTCTAAAAAACTGCCACTCTGGTTCTGACCTTGACTTTATATTTATTCTCAGCAGTCATACTTACTATTAAAGAAATAAAATTAATAATTTCTACATATTCCAAGTACTATTAGTTTTTTAGAATAAGAAATCTTTATTTAAATCTGAAAACTCTAAAATGAAGAGAAAACTCATTGAAGAAATGTTTTTTTATAAAGGAGAGGAAAATTGTTCGAAGGCATATGGTAGAAACTAGCAAATTAATAGATGAAGCAGAAACCAGTGACAACATTGATTAGTTCATATGGGCATTATTTATTTCATCATTTATTGAAACAAATAAACTAAGAAAAAGGAATTTATGTAAATTAACTGTCTGGAAAATTTTTGAATTAAAAAAGATGTATAAAATTTGTTTCAAATATATATGTTTTGTAAATTTTAAGATTGTAATTATTCTAATATTTTAGAATTGATATCATAAATTATAACTACTGTAAAATAATCTTATGGCTTTTTAATGGATATTTTTAGAGTAAAAAAAATATAGCTATGTTAATCTTATTATGACACGCATTTTTAGAATAATTTCAGTTAATGTTTAAAATTTGAAGTTTTATGTTGGTTCTGATAGTCCTTTTTTTCTTAGACAATAAGTTTGCATCATAATTTCCATGATAAGAAGGACTTTTGTTAAAAAAAAATTTTGGGGGGGGGGCCACTGATTTCCATTATTTAGTCCATCCATCATAGTGAGTTTGTGCTTAGAAAGGGCTCTTTTCTAACAGATCAGAGGCACAGTAGTCCATAAGTAATAGACTTAATACAAAACAGCTTACCACCTCTGGTGCTTTAATGGCTTATTGGAACCTGAAAGTATATTAACTGGGTTACAACCTCTGGAACTCTACACGAACCTATGACACTAACTGCCAGAGCCTGACTAACTTTTAACACTTGCCAACCGTGCCTACATCGCCTTTCAGGTTTGTTCTAATCAGCAGGTCTCTCTCTAGACAAGCAGCAGCAGTGATAACATTCAGTCTTTTATTATGAATGATGCTGATTATGATACTTCTCATTTTAACCTTGTAATGATCCTAAGTTTTACTAATGTTTATTTTATTTTAAAACTGTACTATCACTTCTTATTTTCTACTTCCGGCCAGAATTAAATGCTTTAACTTGTTTATGCAAATTGTCTTGCTAACGCCCAAGTACTTATGTTGTGGCTTTTGCCAATAGGGAGAGAGAAGGAGTTTTAGGAAGCAAGCCGCTTGCCACTCTAGTTTTACGAGTTTTCACTCGGTTGCTGGTTGCCTTTAAGGCCAGAGGTTTAGCCCTCTTGATATTTGCAAACGTATCGTAGTAGTTTCAGCAGCTCGGTGTACTATACACGTACCTTTTAAATAAAGGCCAGTCTTAGTGCTAGGCATCTGTATACTAATTCAAAGTTAGCTTTTAGTTAGTAGTTTCGTATTGTTACCTTTAGACCACAAGTGGTTGGTCTCTGTATTCCGAAGTTCGGAAGTGCCCGTAAAGTATTGAAAATAAACGGTTTTGTATACCCTTCCTGCTTGAGTAAGCTCCCTGTTCTTATTCAGGGCATTCTATGTTTCCAAAGCAAATCAATCAGGATGTTGGGGTTGTAATTTTTGAAATAAATAGTTAAAAATACTTTTCTTCTTTGTCTACCACCTATTTTTTCTTGCGTACCACCGGTTGAGAACTTCTGCTTTAGACTGACTAAGTATGTGACAAAATAAGACCTAAAAAAATCAGCATTAAGCTAACTATTAGTAAAACGTAAGCTTCACTTATTTTCTTTGAAATAGGTCCAACCTGTTATAAATGCTACTTGTAAAATATTTAATACAGTCAAAAGTCGTTAATTCGGACACCCATAATCCGAAATGATCTATAATCCGGACCTCAAAGCTACAAACTTTCTGCACATGCGTCGCGTCCACGCATGCGCACAGGCGTTTACGAGAGCGCGTAAGACCCTTACGGCTGCGAATATGTTTGTGCGCATGCGCGTTTAATGTGTAACGGAGTTATACGCTAAGCTAAAGTTATCTAATTCAGTTAATGTTGCTGATTGTGTTGTTCCTTAATCTTCGAATTGGATCCGGCTTATTATTTTTTGCAGACTGTTTGAGCAATTTTATAAAAGTAAGCTTGAACTTTCGATTATGTCAAATAGAATTTCCAATATATATTTACTACAAAGCGAAAGTATGTTTTGAAATCCGAAATCTGTTTATCAATTTCACGCTGCTCTGCGGCAGAGGGGTGGGGCAGAAACGTCATTATTAGATTATGATAGATTAGAAAGATTGTCAAATAGAAATTCCGATATATATTTAATAATATGTAATTTGTATCTACAAAGCGAAAGTATGTTTTGAAATCCGAAATCTGTTTATCAATTTCACGCTGCGAATTGGAAGTTGATCTATCAGCACTCAGCACTATTCTTATCTTCAGGGCAGATGTTTTTATTTTATTTGGTTTACAATTCCGTACTAAGTGTAGTATTTCATCTGAATATACTCCGTCTTTGATATGATTTAAATCAAGTTCCTCGTCATTATAATTCGCTTCCGATGTAAACAAATAAATATTAAGCTTTTTCTTTTTGTAAATTTTGATACCCTTTAGATCATAATTGTTCTTTATTTCATAAATTATGGTTTCATATTTTTAATTTTGTAATTTCTGCATGCCATCTTACGAGATTTAAACTGATGATCTAAAATCCGGAATCGCCGAAGTCCCGACGAGTCCGGATTAACGACTTTTGACTGTACTACTTGGTAAACTGCATGAAGTTTATTTTACTCTCAAACTTATTAATAATTATGTTAATTTACGTTTGGTAATAATGCATACTACTTATGGATCTTTTATTTTTAGGATGGTATTAGAAAAGTGAAATTCAGGCATAGAATATTTTTAATTGAATTTAATCAGTTCCCATATGCTGATGGGTCCTTAATTTTTCTCATTAATGGTCCTTAAAAGTACTTAATTTCCATGTGCAGAAATATGTACGAACCCTGAAAACAGTATTTACCTCTTTTAGGTATTTGTTTTGTTTCTTTCCGTTCAGAAATAATGGTGTTTGTTTCCCCCCTTTCCGATTGATTATTTTGCTTATTTTACACTGAAATTTTAATACTATGCATTTCACAACAACTTATGGAATAGGAAATTTCTCTTTGGAAAGTGCAGAAATATCCTTCAATTCACAGCTGGTTTATGTGCAGCGATGTTTTGAAAGAACAGATCTACAAGTAGACGATATTTTTTATTTCAAATAAGTAGAAAAAAGAAGCTACTATGAGAAATTTTTATACTAAAACATTTCTATCCCCCCCCCTCTTTTTTTTTTTTTTTTTTTTTTTTTTTTTTGTTGTTGTGTTTGTTGTCAGAATTGTTCTCAAAGTGTATGAATACCCTCTACATGTTGGTGCATAAAATGTGACCATGTCTTTGTTAATAGTAGTTGAAAATTTTTTAAATACCTGTACAAAAGCAATTTTTGTTCTTAAATTGGTTAGGAACATCAGATTTGGGAGGATATCGATGTCTCATATTCAAGCTTTTTGAAATGAGCTGAAAATTCTTTATGTATATATTTTGTGTTTGTACATGAATTTAATAATCTTTATTTTTTTTACATTATCTTCAATCATAATGAAAACATAATAAGCTACTAGTAGAGGAGAAGATAACTAAACATTGCACCAAGTTTAATTTCTGAAGAAAAGGGTTATATGCATTAAGTTTTCACTGTTTTATATATATATCACATATGAACAGTTGTATTTGAGAAGTCCTCCACATAAGAATCCTCTCATTAGATGATAGCCCTCTCTTACAAATTATAGGTGTATCAAAATGTAGTAAAAGTTCGAATGTTATTTTATATGATCAGAAATTCTTTGCAAATTGTTCTGACCTGTATTTGAAGTTTGTTGTAAGTGCGAGTCGATGATGAATAAATTACCTACATTGTTTGATTCAGATGATATAAAAAATATTATCTGAGACTCGTACTTTTATGAGGCCATTAATTATACTAATTTGTTTGATGGAGGTTGTAATTTTTCTCTGACACTTTAACATTAAAACAGTAAAGAATTGTATTTTTGCCTGAGGATGATGATTAGTATTCTTACCTACATTGTTTGATTATCCTTGAAAATAAACTTATCTGATTTAGCAGCAGGCAGTTCTTTGTTTGATTCATAGCTCATTCTAGCAGTTTTCTATTAATTCATTATTTTTTTATTAGGTGGGAGCACTAAAAAACGTCTTAAATGTGAATGTGCCAAAAAAAATAGTGGTGAAAACAAAAACCAGTTTCAGCGTTGCTGTTTAAAAAACAACTATCTAAAATTTGGTAGGTTGAATGCTACATTACTGTTGTAAGCATATATGGACACGAATGGGACATCAATCCCCCCCTTTCCCTGAGGGGAAAAATAAGAGACGCTGTTTCTGCGACTATTTAAGGAATATTTTATGTGAATAATTTCATTTTTTTTTAAATAATCAGACCTTGTAATCTTATTTTGCGAGAATGGAAAATTTTAGAATGGTATTGAAATTTTTGGATACTTGTACTGTCATGCAATTATTAATTGCCTTAATAGAACTTGTTGATTTTTACATAGGTGAAAGATTTTTATTAGGTGCAAGTTGCTTTTCCCTTTTTCCCAAACAGTTAATATTTCACAAATTGGCAGGCATTATCAACATAATGATTTAATTGTTGAATAAGAATTATTTTTCACTTTAATATTAAAAATAATTATATTCCTTGCCTGAGAATGATGATTAATATTTTTACCTGCATTCTTTGAATCTGCATCTTTACCTGCATTATCCTTGAAAATAGTTATCTAATTTAGCAGCAGCCAATCCATTGATTCATAGCTCATTCTGGCCACACTGAGAACTTTTCTGTTAGTTTGCTATTTATGTGTTTCTTAGGTGGCAGCATTAAAACATTTCTTAAATTTGAATGTGACATAAAAATTATATGTTTTAAAAATAAAGTGCTTGCATACCTCAACAGATTTTTCTTCCCCCCTCCCAAACCCCATTCCTCCGAAGTATGTAGCGATCTGTTGTCACTTTTAACAACAACACAAAAAATATATCAAAGATTCCAGAGTATCATTGTGCAAACCTCAGCATTCTGTTAAACACATCTTGTTTGTTCCCTTTGAAGATTTTGTGCTGAAATTTTGTATGCCTGCAGAACTTTTACTGCAGTTTCTTGGGTTGCTAGGAAATTTGATGATCGCAGGTTTTAAAATCAAATTTAGGCAAAAAAAATAGTGGGGTTTCTTTATAAAACCTTTTGGAACGTGGAATATAACAAAAAGCATGCGTGCAAAAATGGCAACATAGCTTAACTGAAGAATTGCTACGAGCGTGGTTGTCAGAGTTTGGCACATTCGGAAAATTTGCAACCTCTGCTAAAATTGCAATAATACATAAATACCAAATTTTGGATTGTGTCAAATTGACTGTTTAGTGAAAAACAGTTTAGTTTAGCAATTTAAAAAGAAATAAGATTTCTGATGTATTTGAATAATTGAGCAGCTGTTTGTATATGATGATTAATATCCTTACCTACATTGTTTGATTTTCAAATTGAAAAGTAAAAAGTATCTGATACAGTTATCAAGTACACATCTCAGATTTAAATGTCTGGTTCTCAGTTATTTGTATTCATCTAAATTATTTTACATGTGAAGATTTTAATTTTGATTGGACCTAGAGTGGCTGAATATTTTCATTGTGTATTTATAATTATTTGCTTTTAAAAGCGATTATAATTCACTTTTTCCTATTTTCTGAATTATATACTCAACACACAACCAAGAATCAATTGTTGGTAATTGTATAATGAATGGTAAGAATGTTATATGCAGCTTGTTCCAAAATGCATAGGGTAGTAAATTGTTAGTATGTGGCTGTCAGTGATGATTTACCTACATTGTCTGATTATAAATGATTTGAAATTTTATCTGAGACTCATGTTATTATCTCCTGGTTTTTAGTTTTGCTAAAGAAATTTGTTTTTCAGCAATAAAATTTAATTATAGAAATTTCAATCCCCCCATTCCTGTCAATCTTCAGTATAATTTTTCTTAATTTTATTTGATCTCAATTGTCTTCATCTAATGTAGTCATTTATAGAACTTTACATGAACATTCTCTCAAATATTAAATCAGTAAATATATATCTTTTGTTTTAATCAGTATGAAGATTCAATGAAAAATATACAGTGCGGTCACTTGGATTCAGACCCTTTGATTACTAGCTGGGCATATTTCTAATTACAGCACGAAGACCTAAGGATTTTTGGTAGCTAGTCATCCGATCTTGATGATAGGGAAATTATTGCCTGACACGTTTTAGTTTGCCACTGTGCAGTACTTTTTCTTTTAAATTTATTTTTTAGACACTGGATGTATTATAAAAAAAAAGTGTTACGCCTCGTCAAGATCCGAACTACGGACCTACTGATTGCTAGAGGGATGTTATGCTAATTACATCATGAAGGCATGTGATAAAGAGGGAGACGGTATCTTGCAAGTGTGGTACAATACTAAATTTATCCACACAATCACATATAATTTTTTTTTTCCTGTGTTTAAAATTAAAAGCACTTTGAGAAATTGAAACTGTCCTTCTCTCCTCTAAAATTAACAGTATAAAAGTGTAAGAAAATTACAAAGTGAAATTAGCTAAAGAATCATCTTCAAGTCAATTTTGCATTCTGTTTAAATGGTGCCACAGAATGGGATATAAATATACACAGTTTTCCCTATTGTTACTATTACATTTAATTTTTTAAACTAACAATACACACATTCAGTAAATTAAAAATTTCCTTTAGAATTTTACTAATTTTTGTGTGAGGAATGAATGAAAGTATTTTGGTGTAATTATTATTAAAAAAAACATGTTGCTGATACTGAAGCAGTTTGTGTCTATGAATAATATGGCTGACAGGCAGCAGATATTGGTCTTCTGTTTGGTTGTGTGTTCTTTTTAGCATGTTTGTGCATAAACCAAAGTAAAAAAAATAGTTAAGTTTCTGAAGAGCAAGGCTTGTTTTTTTACTTTGAATAATTTTGTAATTATATATATTAACTATATTTAGACACTTGCCCCATTTACATCTTAATACACTAAGTAGCAAGCATAGAATATGCCCATGAGTCATATTTTGATTTAGAAAATATTATAAATAGAATGTTGTTATTGTTATTATTTTGGAAAATCATTTATAGATCCAAGTCTTTATGTCAGATTTCCCTTCCAAATGAATATTTGCATGCATTTATAGCTGCTATTATAAAAGAATTTGATGTTCTACAGGTAACGAATGTTTGTAAGGTGAAATGAAAACAGATTTCAATATAAATATGTAATAATTTCTGTAATAGAATGGTTGCTATTAAGTATTGCCGATATCGAAGCCACTTTGTTCGTTTATGAAAAAGATGGTCAAAAATCAGCAGATATCAAAATCTTCTGTTTGGTCGCATATTCTCTTTAATAGGTTTATGCATAACCCAAAGAAGAAATATTAAAAACTATTTACTATGGCAGCAGTATTTGCTAGATTTTAATTTGTTGATTATTTTAGATCCATATGTTTTAACTATTTATGTTAAGATTTTGCTTGCTTTGCATGCATTACAGTTGGTGTTTGTTAAAAGAATCTCTCGTGTTCTTCATAAAAAGAATGTTATACTGAGAGGTCCATTTTAATGCCTTTCTAATATTCATTAATGCAATAGTTGCTGTAATGAGTTGTCATTACAGTGAGTCTTAATTTTTCCATGTAAATTTTCATAACAGAGAAATAGTTTAACATAGCATCTTTCAATATATTTTAATTTGTACTAAGATACATTATTAACATCATATTGATTTACTTTTAATTATGTTTTTTACTAGATAATAAGTTTCATAACATAAGTTGTAATGATAATTTACATATATAATTTATGCCACTTAATAAATTTTTTAAGTGTTGTTGATATTCAAACCACTTTGTATCGTTAAGATGGTTAAAATTCAGCTGATATCAGAATCATCTGTTTGTTGGCATATTTTGTTTTCTAGGCATATGCATAACCCAAAGAAGAAACATTATTTTAAAAGATGCATTTAACCTACGACTTGGTAATCAAGGATGCTACATTTCCCTTTTTTGAACAGTTGTAGAATGGCATATTGTACACAATTTTGATAAATTAGAAATGTGTAAAAATTTTTTAAAAAAGTGTCTTCTAAGTTATTTCAGTGGGTAATTAGAAACATACAAATGTAACTACTATAATATTTTCATGCTAGTCTAAATGTATATTCATCTAGTATCCTGTAAAATGTTTTGCTATTCCTCTTGAGCCATCTGTATTTATAAACAATATTAAACTTAAGAAGAGTCCCTTTGAATCATTGTTGACATCTGAAACTCTTCTTGTTTAATTTGTTTATTAAGTGTTGCTGATATCGAAGCCACTTTGTTTCTGTATCATTAAGATGGTCAAAAATCAGCAAATATCAAAATCTTCTGTTTGGTCGCATATTCTTTTTTGTAAGTTTATGCATAACCCAAAGAAAAAACATTATTTTAAAGTTAAGTAAAAAGTGCATTATTAAGCTAATGGTTGATTTTCAAGGGAGCTGTGTTTCTATTTTCTGAATAACTGTAGAGTGACATATGTAAAACAGTTCTGATAATTTAGAAATGCATAGATTAAAATCTTGAAATCAGTGCAGTGGTGCTGTTAGAAATATGTAAATATAATTAGCATATTTGGTTATGCAGTGCAGATTTGCAAAATTTTAAAAAGGCAGATTTTACTTTTAGAATTAAAAAATATATTTTTTCTGGAATATCTGTAGGAATTGCTGTTGATTGTAACTAATATCATTGTTTTTGAATATATGAAATGATTTGTTTTTTCAAACCAGTTTGAAATTTAAGGTTAGAAGACTTTTTTTTTTTTAATTTATTTATTTTTTTTTTTATTTTATTTTTTTTTGTTTTTTTTTGTTTGTTTGTTGTTGTTGTTGTAAGAAGCTTCTTTTAGATATATTATATATTGAGATAAGAAACTTAGAACCTTATTCACAAAGACACGAAGAAATAAAATCAAAACCAGTAAGACCCCAAAGTTTCCCAATAAAAAACATCAACTAATTATATTCAAACCCGAACAATTTCTGAAAACAATATAAAAATACAAAAAGAATTCAACCAAAATTTGATTCAGTATTATTAAGAGGAGGTAGATCAAATTCAGATGAATCGCTCTGCCACCTCCAGGAAAATTATTGTGCTTCCATTCATCCAAAATTATCTGAATAACTATCTTAAACAATTTAATTGCACTAATTCAAAAAATTCTGAATTCCTCCCTGACAACAGATTTCCATTCATATGAAATAAAAATGTATTAAAATTTAAATTAAAAATTAAATTACCAAATACATAGTAATTAACTGAGAAGCATAATTTTGAACTCACCACTGTCAGAACGAAGGAAAAAAAGACTGATTCAAAAATTCATATTTTCAAGATTCAAAAAATATATATTTAGTAATTTAATCTTTAATTTGAAATTTGATTCAGTGTGACTCTTTTTTTTTTTTTTTTTTTTTTTTTTTTTTTGTGCATTTTTATTTCAAATAAATAAAAAGCTGTTGACTAGGGGGGATGTTCAGAATTTTCGGATGAACCATTATAATAAAATTATTTAAGATAGTTCATTAGCTAATAAAGATGAACAGAAGTGCAATGGTTTTTTGGGGGGCGGGGGATTCAGTTCAATCTCATTTCCCTTCCTATTTTAATATTCTATTTTTCAGAAATTCTTCAGGTTTAAAAACAATTAGTTCATGTTTTTTATTGGGAAATTTTTGGTTTATACTGCTTTTAATTTTAATTTTATTTTTTTTATGTTTTTGTGAGTTAGGTTCTGAGAATTTCTTACTTTTTTAATCTATAATTGATTAATTGTTCAGCAACATGTGTGGAAATAGTATTGAGATATTTTTGTGATTCTTTATATATATGTGTATATATCCCAATATTAATTCCGTGCAATATATATATAGTCACACAAAAATATTTTTAAAAAACAAACATATCCCAAGATTATTTCTGTGCAACATGCTTAAAAATTTTAAAAATTCAGAATTTTTTGTTTGGGTTATAAAAAATGAATTTTAAATGGAAAAGGAAAATTATGTTAAACCACTGTGGGTAATGTCTGTTCCCCCCAAAAAAATACTCTTCTGTTATTGGAACTAGATTTAGAAATGGGCATATGCTTGTATGTGTACAAATATATAGCTTTATTCATGTGCCAAATTAGTAATATATGATTGGAGAAAATAACCCAGTCAATAGCTAAATTAGTTGATCTAGCCTTGTGTTTTATTCTTGATAGTTGAATGGTCTGCCTGCTTAAGGAATAACTACCATTCATAAATGCATTATTAACATAAATTTTACAAAGTGTTCATGATGAGAACTTATATTTTCATGAATATATTATGAGTGTTTCGATTAGTCTTTCTGAAACTGCTTTGTAAAATTAAATATGTCATGGTTCATACGATCCTTAAGAATACTTAATTTTGGGCAAAATCAGCAGAAGCTCCTTAATTTTAATCAACAGAAGTTTTGAGTCTGTTTGTGCAACTGCCACTTTGAATGTTAATCCACATTTTTTAGAAATATTTTTTTGCAGTTCACCGACAAGTATGTATTTCACGTATTATAATTTGAATTTATTAAGTGTTGGTAAAATGTAAATAAAATATTAGTAATCTTCTTCAAAGTATGTCCAACGGTAAGTGTAAAATATTCAATGGTGCAAGATAAATTTTACAAAGTTGATTTTATTCACAAATTTGCTTTATAATTATGTTTATTAAATTCAATAATAATGCCATACTGCTTGCAGATCTGTTTTATTCTTAGTATGGTATTACAAAAGTGGATTTCAGACACAAATAATAGCTTTCCTATTTCTTGATAACTCCTTAATTTTTTCATTAATGATCCTCAAAAGTCCTTTACAAGGTATTGAATTTCCATCTGCAAAAATGTTCATGAACCCTGTTTATGTGGAGCTTATTGCAAAGGCTTAATATGAATGAGATTATGAAGTGAACATGATGAAAATTTGTAGATTACATGAATTATGTGAATGTTAAGATTAGTCTTTCTGAAATCACTTTCAGTAAATTTTGTTACTTATTTTTATTTTATTTATAAGAAATGCAAACATGTTAAACTGTGGATATTATATATATATGTATATATCCCAATAGGAATAGTCAATAGGCTAGGAAATAGTCATTTAATTTATCAGCATTTCAGATATTTTGTTGATGTGTCAGATTTGGTAAACTTTTCCAACTCCCAAAATATTGGTAGTTTACTATGGGTTTTATTCCTGGTAGTAGAATGAGCTGGCTCTATAAAAAAGGGGGGGACTGCCACTGGTATAAATTTTACAAAGTGTTTATGATGAGAATCGTTATTTTCATGAATACTCTGAATGTTTTGATTAGTCTTTCTGAAATTGCTTTGTAAAATTAGTTTGTATTATATGTTAAGCTTATTGTGAAGGCTGCAGTGTGTGGAAATATTCTCAAGGGAATGCATTTCTCATGAAGGAAATAAATTTCTTCACATGATTATGATGAAAATTCTTGCATTTTTTTAATTATATTACAATTAGTCCGTCTGAAGTTGCATTCATTAAATTAATTTTCAATGAAAACTGTCTTACTGTAAGTTTTATGAAGTGGTTGATGAAAATTTTGACATTGATTGAATTACATAAACATAACAATTAGTCCTTCAAAAATCATGTTACAACTCGATAAATTAAAGGAGATCCCTGCATTTATTTTACTTGAAATGCTGCGATGTTAGTTTGTTTAAGAATACTTTTAAAAATGTCATGTTTACCAAGAAATTAATTTTCAGTATTACAGTAACAAGTAAAATTCTACAAAATACAATGTGCTGTGCAGTATTTTATTATGTATTTTTTCTGTTTTAGGTTAAATTACGTGTTTGTCATTGGAAAAGGTAACAAACCTTTCATATCATTACCAAGAGGAAAAGGTGTAAAACTTTCTGTGGCTGAAGAAAGAGATCGGCGTTTAGCTGCAAAGTCACAGCACTAAAATAACTATTTGAAAATAAAAGTGTTGAAAAAAACTTCTGGATTATTTCATTTCAAGTTACAAATCAGCTTTTTGTTTGATTAATGTAAACAACCATGGCAGGTTGTCAGTCATGTTATTCCATAGTTATTGAGTAATTTATATATTGAACCTTAGTGTTATTTTTATCAGAAAACTTAAAATGGTATTGGAAATTTTTAAAGGAGTAGAAAAATGGGGGGGGATTAAGGAGAAAACAGTCACAACACAATTTGTTAAACACTAAACATAAGGCCTTAAAAAGCTCAGCATTTTGCTACAAACTTTCAAAATGCAATATATTCAGCAGGAGGTGGCCATATACCATGAGTTATTAAACATTTATTATATTTTAAAATTCTTTTATATAAAAATGCAAAAGACATTTGTTTGGGGTATAAAGTACTGGAACTATAATTATAATAAAGAATGGTCAATCTTTATGACTTGTAGTAAAAATAGTTTGATCTTGTCAAATATTATAACAAGACAGCTTCCTGACTACTTAGTCCCAAGCAATATACTTTTACAGCACCATTTCCTCAGACTTTTTTCATAAATTAAAAGTATATGCAACCATCTTACTCTTTTCCCATTCAAAAGCAATTTTTAGCATATTTTTATTTTAAAAGGACGCTGCAAGCAGTGGTTCAGTAGGGCTGTTGTGCCACTGAGTTCAGTTTTTAATTTTTAAAATGCATTTAATTTCATATTGGTGTCACTTTAATAGAAGAAAATTGCAGTAGACTCCCGATTATCCGCGCCTGCCGCAGAAACTTTTTTTTTTAAAAAAACAAGCGTAAAAAGCAAAAAAATAATTTTCACAAAACTGAGCGAAACGGTAAATTTGCTAACATCGTGCTTATTTATTGCAAAAATATCCCAGGCCTTCTCGGAACCTTACCCTCGGTCCCCTGATGAGTAAGTGATTTCTTACTCACGCTTGCAGTGCCCGCTCCACCGCCCTTTCTCGTCTTAATCTTACTGACACGTTCACTTCCTTTCACTCGCCATTGTTAGTTTAAGCCTAATAGTGTTTGTGAACCGGTCCGAGTTAAATTTCTTATCTTTTTATTGTATTCAGTGCTTGTGCTTTTTGGTTTTGTGTTTTTGTTACTCATTTAAAATGTCAGGAAAATGAAAGAAGGTTGTGTTGACGATAGCGCCAAAACTAGAATTAATTTCCAAAGTAGCAAACAGCGCTACAAGGTAGCATATGGAATTGGATTACAGAATCGCGGAAACAACAGTGCGTGACATTCTAAAGCAAAAAGACAAACTGGTGAACTTTGCATCAATGTCGGATAGTGCTTCCGCAAAGAAAACGCGAAAAAGTGTGAAAGGTTCTACCTTTGATGAGCTAGACACGGCATTGACAGAGTGGTTAGCTGAAGTACGAAAACAGGGTACTCCTGTAAATGGTCCTATCATTGCGGCGAAGGCAAAAACCTTTTTTGAGTTGTTAGGCCTGAAAGGAAATTTTGATGCATCTTTTGGCTAGTTGACTCGTTTTAAGCAGCGACATGGAATTCGAGAAATTGGACTTCATTGGGAGAAACTTAGTGGTGACCAACAAGCAGCCGACGATTTCCACCATGAATTTGAAGAATTTGTATTAAAAAAAGAGCTATCTTTTGATCAAATTTAAAATGCCAACGAATCGGGACTTTTGTCGACAATCGGGAATCGCACTTTAGCACTTTAGCATTTGAAAATGAAAGTAAAGCGGCGGGTTATAAAAGCAGCAAAGCAATAGGATCACTATCATGTCTTGCAGTAAGGCTACCGGTGGACATAAACTTAAGACTTGTTGTCATTGGAAAGTTTAAAAAAAAAAAAAAAAAAAAAAAAAGAGATCTTTTCAAAGGCACAAGGATAGAAAATTTACCCGTTGTTTACTTTAACCAAAAAAAAGGATGGATGGACCGAAACATTTTTCAAGAATGGTTCGAAAACATCTTTTTTCTTCAAGTGCAAAACATCTTAAATCGAAAAGCCTGCCTGAAAAAGCTGTGCTATTGATCGACAACACACCTTCTCAGTCAGCAACAAGCATGTTAAAGTCTTCTGATGGACAAAGTTTCTCCCCCCCCCAAACATTACTGAGCTAACCCAACCCATGGAACAAGTAGTCATTGCAACAATGAAGAGAACATACAGAACCAAGCTGCTAATGACCAAAATTGAAGAAGGTTATGATCTGAAAGAGTTTTGGAAACACTACACAATCTTCGACAGCATCTACGATATTGCATCTGCATACAACTCAGTGAAACCGTCAACCCTCATAACATTATGGAGAAAACTCATGCCTAATGTTGAAGCCAACAACAACCTAACCCCTTTGAGTTGTAAAGAAGAGAAGGAAGCTATAGTAGACACGCCCACAGCAACTTTTGCCGATATGGTGAAAACAGTTCCGAGTGGTGAGAACGTTGATGCTGAAAGCATTAACGAGTGGTTGGAGTGTGACGTCAACGAACCTGACTTTGAACGCTTGACAGATGACGAAATTGTGAAGAAAGCAAGGGGAGAGAGACCGAGAATGAAGGACAGTGAAGTGAAGGCGAAGAAGAGCCACTGTGCATATGCAGAAGACTCATGAAGTGGCTTTGCAACAAGTCTACAGATTACTGAGCTATTTGGAAGAACAAGACGACACGGAGTTGGCCGAGAAACTTATGCTACGAAAAATGCAATCTCGGATCAAGAGAAAATGCTTCCAAAGCACAAAGCAAACACAAATGACTGATTGTTTCAAAAAGGTTAGTTTTACAGTTATGCTTTTGTAATTACATAAATACATTACAGTATTAAAACAGAACATATGTATTAATTTTTCTGTGTATCCTTGACGCCTCTCGTAAGTATACAAAACACTTTTCTATTTTTTTTCATTAACAAAATGCATTTTAGGATAGTTTTGAGTGATATACTAAAATATTAAGCGTTAGTTAAACATTTCCCGCTGTTTATTTTACATTTTATTGTATATTTTTCAAAATGATTGTTTTTTCTTTTTTGCTATATCCGTTTTTAGCTTTTTTTTTTTTTTCGGATTTTCCGCGGCGGCCGCGCCACCAATTCCGCGATAATCGGGAGTGTACTGTATATTAATTATAACTATAAACTAAAATTATGTTAAACTTATATTTAAACTAGAAGTTTAAATAATAACCATTTAATTTACTAAAAAGTGAATAAGTATTATTCCTCACGTTAATGAAATGGATGAGTCTGCCGATTCTTGCAGAGCTGTTTTATGTTTGTATGTATGCTGCTAAGAAGCAGCAGCATTAAAATGTCTTGTTGTTAACACTAGAGTGGGAAATCCCCAGATAATGTAACTGGTAATAAATTTCAAAAATGTCTGTATATGGAAGAAAAGTGAAAGATGTTTACCAGGTGTTGTCATTCCAGACTCTGATATTCAGTCATAGTATGGGATATACAGTTAATTTTTTATTATATATATATATATATATATATATATATATATTATTTTTTTTTTATGTAAAAAAACTAGCTTTTCTCATAAAATCAGATTTATTTCACATTACTGTAAGCTTCAACAGTTTTAAGTGTTAGTTTTGCAGTCTTTGTAATATTGTTTTAAATAGTAATTTTGAATTGCCATGGGAATCGGTTTCTGCAGAATATATGTTGAAGACCACTGTTCTGTCTAGCAATAAAATGTTTTAACACATATGGGACCCTTGTAAAAAATTTCAACATCAATTAACAGTGAATTTTTTTCCATTTGTGCATAAAATGTGTGCAAAATCAGTCTGATTAATCAACATCAGTATATTTCTGGTACTAGTAACAATGTCGTATTTTTCATAATTTTAATTTATAGCATTCCTTTATGCAAATTATTTGTTACAAGTTATTTGTAAACAGCAGTAGATATCTTAAACTATATTTCATATAGTGTAGAGCAGTATATTTACTTTTTATATAAATTGGGTAAAGTAAAATATCACTAGATATTGTAAGATCTATAAGGGGTTTTCAAATGAAAAGGTATGTAACGACACTATAGATATAGTGAAGTCTTTATTCACATGTAATCACCAGAGGCCTGAACACAGTTGTTTCACGAGCCAAAGACCCCCTTCCCAGAATTATTGTAGCCATGACAGGAGCCAGTCATCCAAGTTAAAGAGTTTTCTTTTGAGATGTTACTTCTCACTGGGTCTTTTAACCTTGTCGATGAGTTTGGCCATGATTACCATGCTTGCATGGCCTAGTCTTGTGTCATTATTCAAAACACTCCAGGCCTTCATGGAAACTTCACTTTCTCACTAACTTGTCGGTAACAGTCTCCCTAGTATATGGCCATCGGCCGGTTTAAACCCTTCTGCAGTTAGGAATCTGGTAACATCTTGCTGCTCCTCATTCGTCAGATTTTGCAATATGAATGCCATGATGTCCTTGCATGCACTGCTGCATCAATTTGACATAACACACAACTGCCTCCTTTTTCTTACGTCGTGTGGGTGCTCACACATGTGCACAACATTTGCATCCTTAGGTGTCTTGCTACGTTGAGCTAAAGTGGCATATACAAATTTCAACAGGTTTATTTGTTATGATGTTTTGTACTTTTTCATTTGAACAACTCCATATTTCTAGTAATCAAATGGGCAATACGAATGTTTACTTTTTGAATGCAGTTGCTATGGGGGCAGTGCTGATTTTTAAGCAAAGAGCAATCAAATAAGGCATTTTGAATTGTGCTAAATGTTTTGTGGCTTAGGAATGTCATAACTGTAAATTGTAATTTTAACAGTTTGGTCAGCTTTTCAATAAAGAACAGACAGACAAAGTAGACAGATGTCTTTTGTTGCACCCGCTAAGTCTTTCTGCACCGATGGGCGAAAAATCAAGCATAGGTGCGAAGGAAAGGTATATAGAAAGGGGGGGGGCAATTTCGTATTTCAGAGGAGAGTAAAAAAGGAACTTCGTATATTTATACGAGTTCGAAAGGCCAGGAAGAAAAGATGGGACAAA